CCCGTAGCCCTGGCTCTGAGGCCCCCCCCGTAGCCCTGGCTCTGAGGCCCCCCCATGCGCAGTCATACTTAAGCCTCACCTGACCTGCCGTTGGATCCCCTGTCGGGTGTAACGGGGCCCCACTAAGGACGGCGGCGACGTACAGCTGCAGGGAAATTTGTCAGAATAGAACTTAAAACGACATTAAGGTCTGGCCTGCAGTTGCCTCTTAAATCAATCTCCCAGGTTCTCAGTCACCAGGGGCTCCATGTCGCCACATGCAGTGCGGGGGTGACGACAGCAGGCTTCCATAAATCTCTCCCCACTACAGGGCTTCCTTGGGGGAGCTGGTGAAACGGCCAGCCTGCGCTCACGTTGACGTCAATTACAGTGAAGATTGGGGGTAATCACCTATAGTAAGGCTGGGCGATATAAACGATCGTCACATAACCTTTTAAACACTAAGAAATTGAGAAACTTCGATGAACTGTTGATACAGAGAACTATTTGATAGCACGCGTCATGGAAGTGAATGCAGTTGCAGTGAATAGTATGGTAGTCTTTAAAGAATGGGCAACCTGTGTTGAACAGACTCACTGCAAAGCTGGCTGAGTCAGCAGGCAACGCCACGCACTATTGTTTTGGTAATACAGGTGTCGGAGTAAGCGGATATTGTGGATAAAAAGACAGCAGTGGGTATTGCAGTATGTTAGCTATTTAAAGATCGACAGGCAGCATATTGGTTCTGTGTATTGTAAACTCTGCCGGAAACCTGGATGTTTTAGCTAAGCCTAATACACCGTCATGGAGTAGAACAGACAGAATGCAGGTGCACCTGCAGTTAGGGTTTCCAGTTTTCATCCCAGAAAATACAGGATGGCACCTCCCTGTTCTCCAACAAAAAAAATTTGCCAACAATGCCCTGGGGTGTGGGGTGGATTAATCATGAAATGCACGACAAACCGTGTCCTGTATTGGTTCAGAATGAAGCACAACGTTTTATTTTCCAACATGGGATGACCCATAAAAAACGGGATGGGTGGCAGCTCTGCCAGCAACGTCAAACCCGCCCCCTGGAAGGAGCTGCCAGGCAGGCAGAGAAAAATCCCAGTAACCAACCGTACAGTCGGGGTTTCTAGTGTTACGCCCTACAGCAACAAAAGTTTATTTTTGTATTATTTATTTATTAGAATGAGATTTCAGTCTGTAGTCCATTCAGTTTGTCATCTTTTCATGATCTGAATCTGTTTAGGGGGAATCCTAAGGGAATTTTAATCAAAAATGGAGCCTTGAAGTAAAGAAATAACTACTAGAATTATATTGTGATAATTACTGACATCGAATGATATGTAAAGATTTGTTAAAATATTTTGCCATGATGCTTGGCTGTATCTTGCCATTGTAAAAATGTAGAACTGGGCAAAAGCACCAGTAAAGATGCAGTCTGTGTGCTAACGGTGTCACTACAAGGAAACGCGTCTGAGAACAGGGCTTGTTATTCCCGATAAGCGGCGAGGATCCAGCTCTCCACCACCTTGTGGGCTGGAGGTCAGTTCCATCTGTCCTTGTGTGAGTGACAACCCCCCCCATGGTTGAAGACCACTGGGGAGGGGGGGGGGTGCGGTTTCACTCACCTCCGGCTGGCAGGATACATGTCATCCTGCGGTAGTCAGGTGGTCACGCTGCCCCTCAGCAGCTTCTCTGGGTTGTGATGGTCGCTT